TATCTCTACCTTCACTAACCCTGAGACTCCTGCTGCTATCCCCCTCCTGTATCTCTACCTTCACTAGCCCCTGAGACTCCTGCTGCTATCCCCCCCCTGTATCTCTACCTTCACTAACCCCTGAGACTCCTGCTGCCACCACCTGCACCAGCCCTGCACAGCAGCAGCAGCAGCAGTGTTGTCAGCTGGAAACCCAGCAGCAGCATCCCTATCGACAAGTGCTGCTGAATCCCCAAGCCTCACCCATCCTGCTTGGCTCTTCTCGACTGGTAACAAGTGCCACGCGTGCCACAGGTGCCACGGGTGGTTTTTGAGGCGTCTCAATCCCAACAACTGCTCCAGTGCGTGCGGCTGCGGGCAAAGAATCGTTTCCAGCTGCTCTGGTGCTTGCATTGCTGGTTATTGTACCGTCTGCACCAGCGGTAACACTTGCACCAGTGGTAACACTTGCACCAATGGTAACATCGGCACTCCTGGTAACATTTGCACCGGCAGTAGCGTTTGTGGCATTGGCAGCATTGGTGGCATTGAGCAGATCGGCGAAGAAGAAATCACCCATCATGAGACCCCCTCCAGCATCATGTCACCATCCCATCACCATCCCCACCACCATCACCATCCTCCCCACCGCCCTCCCCTCCACCGCCCCCCCCATGCCATCATCCCCAGCGAACCCACTCACCTCCACACTCCCTCCAACCTCCAACACCCCCACTCCCCCACTCTCTTCCCCTCCCTCTCCTCCCTCTCCCCTCCCCACTCCCTCGCCTCCTCCTCTCTTAAGCAGCTTAGGCACTAGAGCCACTAGCTGTTTGACACGTGTCTTAACCTCAGCCACATGCTTCCTGAGCCGCACTCTCTCCTTGCGAACTGCCTGTGCCGATATCACCGCCCACGCCACCTGCATGCGCTGCCGCAGCCACGCGCCCATGGGCTGGTGGGGAGAGGGAGAGGGGGGGGGGTGGGGGGAACACCTGTTCAAGAATGGGACGGGCCATCGGTATCACCGCCCACGCCACCTGCATGCGCTGCTGCAGCCATGCACCCATGGGCTAGTGCGGAGAGAGAGGGGGGAAGTGGGGAGGGGAGGGGGGGTTGGGGGCCAGTCAGTGAAACACCTGTTTAAGTATGGGACCATTGATATCACCACCCATGTCGCCTGCATGCACTGCCACAGCCACGCACCCATGGGCTGGTGATGGGAAAGGGGTGGAAGAAGTTGTTGGGGGTTAGGGACGCAAGGGGCAACACGGTGGGGTTTGTTTCAGTGGAAACCAATCGGCTGAACTGTTTTTGAGCGCAGTTGTTTATACCTTCTCTCCCTCTGCATGTCCACAGCATTGTTCTTTTCACCCCAGCCATCCTGCTCACAGCTCATCCCTCCCCTTTGCCAGCTCATTCCTCCCCATTGCCAGCTCATCCCTCACCTTGGCTGACTCATCCTTCACAAGCCCATCGCCATACTCGTCCATCATCGTAACATCCATCGTGTAGATCGGGGTATTGTCCGAAATCACCCCAGCGCGATCCCCCCAGTAATGATTCAGCCTCATCACCCTCGTATCCACCAGAGGCGGCGGCCCATTCTCCATGACGGGCCACGAGTGCGGGTTGATGCAGTCATCCGTGAGATGTGCCGCGAGGGGCAGCCATGCGAGGGGCTTGGTGCGGTGGCGCTCCGACGAGTTCGGCATGCGCAGCGTGTAGCGCTCAAGCAGCGTGTCGGTGTCGGGACCAATGGGGTCTCCCAGGAAGAAGAGGTTTTGAACCAGAACCTGAGAAAGGGGGGAGGGGGAGGAGAGGGGGAGGGAGGGAGAGAGGATTGTGGGAGAGAGGGGAGAAGAGAGCGTGTTGTGGCCTCTTCCGCACTTGTGTGTGCACTAAAAGAGGCAGTGGCCCCCATTTTCCAGGACGGGCCACGCGTGGGGTGGGGTGGGGTTGATGCAGTCGTCCATGAGATGCAGTCGGCCATGAGATGCAGTCGGCCATGAGATGCAGTCGGCCATGAGATGCAGTCGGCCATGAGATGCAGTCGGCCATGAGATGCAGTCGGCCATGAGATGCAGTCGGCCATGAGATGCAGTCCGCCATGAGATGCAGTCGACCATGAGATGCAGTCGGCCATGAGATGCAGTCGGCCATGAGATGCAGTCGGCCATGAGATGCAGTCGGCCATGAGATGCAGTCGGCCATGAGATGCAGTCGGCCATGAGATGCAGTCGACCATGAGATGCAGTCGGCCATGAGATGCAGTCGGCCATGAGATGCAGTCCGCCATGAGATGCAGTCGGCCATGAGATGCAGTCGGCCATGAGATGCAGTCGGCCATGAGATGCAGTCGGCCATGAGATGCAGTCGGCCATGAGATGCAGTCGGCCATGAGATGCAGTCCGCCATGAGATGCAGTCCGCCATGAGATGCAGTCGGCCATGAGATGCAGTCGGCCATGAGATGCAGTCGGCCATGAGATGCAGTCGGCCATGAGATGCAGTCCGCCATGAGATGCAGTCCGCCATGAGATGCAGTCGGCCATGAGATGCAGTCGGCCATGAGATGCAGTCGGCCATGAGATGCAGTCGGCCATGAGATGCAGTCGGCCATGAGATGCAGTCGTCCAAGCGATGCACGGCGAGGGGCCTATTTTTTAGGCGCCTAAAAAATAGACTCCCCCACACAAGGGGCTTGGTGCGCTGGCGTGTGTAATGAGTCGATTTTTGAGTCGACTCAAAATCGAATCATTGCACGGCGAGGGGCAGCCACACAAGGGGCTTGGAGCAGTGGCGCTCGGACGAGTTGGGCATACGCGGTATGTAGCGCTCAGGCAGCGAGACGGTGTCGGGACCGATTGGGTATCCCAGGAAACAGAGGATTTGTATTAAGACCTGTGAGGCGGAAAGAGGTGGAAGAAGAGGGGGTGGATAGAGAAGCTCGGGGAGTTGGGCACGCGCAGCGTGAGAGTGTCTGTGTCGGGACCAATGGGGTCACGGAGGAACAATAGGTTCTGAATCAAGACCTGAAGTAGGGGAGGACTTGAGCATGCCTTGAGCCTGGTCAAAGAATGCACACGCGGAGGAAAAAGGGGTCAACGTGCAGCGAGAGGTGAGGGGCTGTGGCCGCTGGATGGGAAGGAGGCAACTTACACTTGAAACGTGATGTAGAGCTTGTAATCTTAGTGAGGTACACATAAGTAGGATTGGAGCATCCTCTCCAATTCTTTCTGTGTGTACCTCTGACTACGATCACAAGGTCTACATCACGCTTCAAATTCAAGTCACCTCCTTGATCTGCCCTCGTCTCCCGACAAACAATTTTTGAGGCGCCTCAAAACTCGTCTCCCGACAAACAACCCTCCTCATCCAGTGTCCACGGCCCCTCATCCTTTGCTGCACATTGACCTCTTTCTCCTCCGTGTGTGCACTCTTTGACCAGGCTCAAGGCATGCTCAAGAAAAGAGGACAGAGGGAGGGAAGAGGATTAAGTAAAGCGGAAACGAAAAGGAAGAGGATAATGGGAGGAGGGAGAATAAGGGGAGGGAAGAATACGGGCTTGGAGTGGGCACATGGGCACGAGAAGAGTGGATCAGTCTGCTGCGTGATTCACTCTGCGCCCTGTGTGTGGTTGTATGTGGTTGCGTTTTTTTGCATGTGGTTGCACTTGCAGAGACCAACTATCAAAACCGCCCACCTGTATTGTCGTATTCGGTAAAGTCTGCAGGTAGTGACGAAGAAAGCCGGGCGGTGTGCCAGCCGGCGAGAAGAAGTACTCATCAATATCAACGTGGAAAGCCCAATGCACCTCCGAGGCATATTGCTGGGAGGGTTGGGGGAAGGGGAGAGAAGGAAGGGCAGAGAGCATCGAGCTGAGAGGGGATAGATGGAGGGAAGAGAGTGGACAACTGCGAGAGAAAATACTCGCCCAATACTCGGAGGCGCATTGGGCTTTCAATGTTGAAAATACTCGAGCGCCCAATAGTTCCCAACCAACCCACCTCTTACCCCCCTTCACTTCTCATCTTCACCCAGTGGTTGCATGCTGCCCCCTGCTTGCACCATCGTCACCAACACGTCCCACTCTCATCTCCCACTCTCTCCCCCACTCTCATCTCCCACTCTCATCTCCCACTCTCATCTCCCACTCTCATCTCCCACTCTCATCTCCCACTCTCATCTCCCACTCTCATCTCCCACTCTCATCTCCCACTCTCATCTCCCACTCTCATCTCCCAATCTCATCTCCCACTCTCATCTCCCACTCTCATCTCCCACTCTCATCTCCCACTCTCATCTCCCACTCTCATCTCCCACTCTCATCTCCCACTCTCATCTCCCACTCTCATCCCCCACTCTCATCTCCCACTCTCATCTCCCACTCTCATCTCCCACTCTCATCTCCCACTCTCATCTCCCACTCTCATCTCCCACTCTCATCTCCCACTCTCATCTCCCACTCTCATCTCCCACTCTCATCCCCCACTCTCATCTCCCACTCTCATCTCCCACTCTCTCCCCCCACTCTCATCTCCCACTCTCATCTCCCACTCTCATCTCCCACTCTCATCTCCCACTCTCATCCCCCACTCTCATCTCCCACTCTCATCTCCCACTCTCATCTCCCACTCTCATCCCCCACTCTCATCTCCCACTCTCATCTCCCACTCTCATCTCCCACTCTCATCTCCCACTCTCATCTCCCACTCTCATCTCCCACTCTCATCTCCCACTCTCATCTCCCACTCTCTCCCCCCACTCTCATCTCCCACTCTCTCCCCCCACTCTCATCTCCCACTCTCATCTCCCACTCTCATCTCCCACTCTCATCTCCCACTCTCATCTCCCACTCTCATCTCCCACTCTCATCTCCCACTCTCTCCCCCCACTCTCATCTCCCACTCTCATCTCCCACTCTCATCTCCCACTCTCATCTCCCACTCTCATCTCCCACTCTCATCTCCCACTCTCATCTCCCACTCTCATCTCCCACTCTCATCTCCCACTCTCATCTCCCACTCTCATCTCCCACTCTCATCTCCCACTCTCATCTCCCACTCTCATCTCCCACTCTCATCTCCCACTCTCATCTCCCACTCTCATCTCCCACTCTCATCTCCCACTCTCATCTCCCACTCTCATCTCCCACTCTCATCTCCCACTCTCATCTCCCACTCTCATCTCCCACTCTCATCCCCCACTCTCTCCCCCCACTCACTCTCAACCCTCGTTCTCCCCACACTCTCTCCCCCCGCTCTCCCCCCCTCTCTCCCCCCACTCTCTGCCCCGCCCTCTCCTCCTGCCCTCTCCCCCCTCTTCTCCCCCTTCCTCAAACCCTTCTCACAATCTCACCTTCACCCAGTGGTTGAGGAGTCTTCTCTCCCTTCTCAAACCCTCCTCAAACCCTTCTCCCACAGTCTCCCCCCCCTCTCCCCCTTCCTCAAACCCTTCTCACAGTCTCACCTTCACCCAGTGGTTGAATGCTGCCCCCTGCTTGCACCGGAACATCCTCTCAAGATATGCTGTGAAGTTGCCCTCCACAAACGGCAGCTCCCGCACTCGGTGGTACACCAGCAGTCCGGCATCGACGTATGGGGCGAGTACCACATCCTGAGGGGGGGGGAGCGGAAATAGCAATGTGGAGGGAGGAGAGGGGAATATGAGAGAGAGTGAGGGAGTCACACAGGGAGTGAAGGCTGGTATTCCATTAATACCAAGGACCGCTTGAAGGGGAGGGGAGGGGGGAAGGTAGACATGGGCAAAAAAAATTGCATCGCATCGCATTTAATCGCGTTTTTGCGATTGCAAAAAAAAAAAAAAAAAAAAAAAAAAAAATCATCGCGCGATGCGATGAATCGTTTATCGCGCGATCTAATTCAAATCGCATTATAATCGCGCTAAAACACACGATTTAAATGCGATATGCGATTTTTTTAAAATCGCGCGCGATGTCGCACTGAAACCCACTCTGAAACCCACTACGAAACCACACTAGTTATTTGCACTCTAGCTTACGACTGCCCGTGATTCAATTTCCCGGCAGCCATGGTTTTTTTCTGGTTTTTTGGGGTGTTTTTTTAATTCTGTTTAAAAACGCGATGCGATTGAAAATCGCATCGCGCGATTTAATTGAATACCGCATGCGATTTTAATATTCATCGCGCGCAAAACGCGATGCGGGATTCTTTTTTCCAGAAATTAAATCGCGCTATGCGATTTAAAATCGCATCGCATTTAATTAAATTGCCCCCAATGCGATGCGATTTAAATCGCAATCGCATTTTTCACCTTTTTTTCGTATTAAACAGCCGTTTAATTCGATACCGTTTAATACAGTTTTGTTTTTTAAATGGCATTTTTTTAAAACCCTGATCTCCTCCCTAGATCAGCACCGAAGCAAAATTACTATTTGCTCTACCATACAGAACTAAAAATGACCATTCTGCCATATGTGACGGCACCAAATAATTGAAAAAGAAAAGAAAAGAAAAAAAAAACACAATCCCGAACAAACCTGATATTCCTCGGTGCTCCTCGCCTTGTCGTACCAATAGAACCGAGTCACTCCAGTGCCTTGGCTTGGCGCAGTTTGAGCTGCCTGAAAAGCAGCAGCTGCTCCAATGCCTGATTGATTACCCAACGCACCTGGTCTTCCTCGGTGCTCCTCGCCTCGTCGTACCAATAGAACCGAGTCACTCCAGCGTAGCGGTGATACTCCAGCCACTGTAGACGCAAAGAAGCACGGCCAAAACATGAGATTAAAGAGTAGAAGGTGAGCTGCGGGATGGATTGACGGGGATGATGAGAGAGGCTATTTTTTAGGCGCCTCAAAAATAGACTCCTGTGGGATGGATTGACCGGGATGATGAGAGAGTGGGGGAAGTGGAGGACAATTGGGCACGCTCCCATCCTATCCCCCTTCCAGCGCACTCCCACCTGCCAGACACTCCCACCTGCCACTCCCACCTGCCACATGCGCAGCGCCCAGAACCTTGTGCAGTCGCCATCAAACACCCACCCGCCGGCCCATCACCAGCAACGGGCCCTGCATTGCCCAGTGCACAGCCTGCCACAACCTCCCTTCTTCAACCCTAACCCTGTCCATCGCACACCCACCTGCCACACATGCAGCGCCCAGAAGCGAGTGGAATCCCTGTCAAACACCCTGTTGTACACCATACCGGCTTTCGCCAGCGGGCCCTCAACTCTCTACTGTACAAACCCACTACCAGCCCATCCCATCCCTCCCAAACCCCCCCTTCAAACCCCCCTCACCTGCCACACATGCAGCGCCCAGAATCTTGTGTAATCCCCGTCAAACACCCTGTTGTACACCATGCCGGCTATCACCAGCGGGCCCTGCACTCTCGGACGAATGTACTGCTTGGGGCGGTCTGGGGCTTTGGGAGCTGTGGCTGCTGCTGCTGCCTCTCCCCGCTGACAGCTGTAGTGCTGCTGCTTCTGCTCCTGCCTCTGCTGCTGCTGCTGCTGCTGGGGCAGCAGCAACAGGCGCAGCAGTTTTCCCTGGGGTGACTGTGAGTGTGAGCGGGAATTTCGACCGGAGCCGGGTGGCAGTTGCAGGAACGCCACACTTGCATTGAAGGCGTGGGGGTGCAGGCTGTGATTGTAACGAAGGGGGTGAGATTGGGGAAAGGGAAAGCGAGGGCGGCGGAAGGGGGGAAGGTGAGTGCACCTTACATGGGCAGTTTTACATGAGCAAAACCGGGTAATTACCCGACCCGACCCGGTTTTGCCCTACCCGTGATCGGGTCCGGGTCTGGTCGGGTCGGGTAGTTTCCGGGTAATGTTTGGAGGTCTGTTACCCGACCAGGCATTTAATACCGGGTAATTGGGTACCCGTCTGGCGGGTCGGTTTAAACCCGACCCGCATTTAATTGAAGTCGGGTAATATTACCCGGGTACCCGTAGGTTGGCTGTAAAATTCAGCAAACCTGGACTAACAAACCCGAAGTCGGGTCGGGTAAGCCGCAACCCGAGGGGTAATAAATTACCCGATATTTCGGGTAATTCTCGGGTAACGGGTATGCATTACCCAGCCTGAGTACCCGACCCGACCCGGCCGGGTAATTCGTCAAAATACTATTACCCGACCCGGTCAAAATGTCGGGTCGGGTCGGGTACCCGCGACCCGACCGGGTAAAATGCTAAAGTCTAGTTTACACCGAGCCAGTTGAGAGTTGCAGGAATGCCATGCTTGCATTAAAGGGGTGCGGGTGCAGGCTGTGAGGACGGGGAAAATGGCAACATCGTGGGTGAGTGATTCAGCATCGTGTGGGTGATTAATTCAGCATTGTGGGTGAGTGAATCAGCGTGGACAACAGAAAGGGGCTCTCAACGTCTGCTTCAGCATCCGAAGGCTCTCCATCACAGTGAGCTGAGTGCTTGCTTGCACTGACGTGCCTCACAAGCAGCCCCCTTACCTGACTTCAGTATTCAGCACCATCTCTATGTTGTCTACCAAGACTCTCCGAGTCAGCTTGAGCATGTGCAAGTGTTGGGGTCAAAGAAGACCCCAAACCTTTTCCCCGATAAGCCATGCCAGCAGCTCTCTCACCTGCCTTCACCCCCACCTGCCTTCACTCTCACCTGCCTTCACCCCCCACCTGCCTTCACCCCTCACCTGCCTTCACCCCCACCTGCCTTCAACCCCCACCTGCCTTCACCCCTCACCTGCCTTCACCCCTCACCTGCCTTCACCCCCCACCTGCCTTCACTCTCACCTGGCTTCACCCACCACCTGCCTTCACCCCCCACCTGCCTTCACCCCTCACCTGCCTTCACCCCCCACATGCCTTCACCCCTCACCTGCCTTCACCCCTCACCTGCCTTCACCCCCACCTGCCTTCACCTCCCACCTGGCTTCACCCCTCACCTGCCTTCACCCCTCACCTGCCTTCACCCCTCACCTGGCTTCACCCCTCACCTGCCTTCACCTCCCACCTGGCTTCACCCCTCACCTGCCTTCACTCTCACCCTGCCTTCACCCCCCACCTGCCTTCACCCCTCACCTGCCTTCACCCCCCACCTGCCTTCACTCTCACCTGCCTTCACCCCCACCTGCCTTCACCCCTCATCTGCCTTCACCCCCCACCTGCCTTCATCCCCCACCTGCCTTCACCCCTCACCTGCCTTCACCCCCCACCTGCCTTCACCCCTCACCTGCCTTCACCCCTCACCTGCCTTCACCCCCCACCTGCCTTCACCCCTCACCTGCCTTCACCCCCACCTGCCTTCACCTCCCACCTGGCTTCACCCCTCACCTGCCTTCACCCCTCACCTGGCTTCACCCCTCACCTGGCTTCACCCCTCACCTGCCTTCACCTCCCACCTGGCTTCACCCCTCACCTGCCTTCACCCCCAACCTGCCTTCACCCCTCACCTGCCTTCACCCCTCACCTGCCTTCACCTCCCACCTGCCTTCACCCCTCACCTGCCTTCACCCCTCACCTGCCTTCACCCCCCACCTGCCTTCACCCCTCACCTGCCTTCACCCCCCACCTGCCTTCACTCTCACCTGCCTTCACCCCCCACCTGCCTTCACCCCTCATCTGCCTTCACCCCCCACCTGCCTTCACCCCCCACCTGCCTTCACCCCTCATCTGCCTTCACCCCTCACCTGCCTTCATCCCCCACCTGCCTTCACCTCCCACCTGGCTTCACCCCTCACCTGCCTTCACCCCTCACCTGCCTTCACCCCTCACCTGGCTTCACCCCTCACCTGCCTTAACTGTTGTAAAATATATATCTATACAACATGCATGCCTAGATTAGGAGGTGTAGTCATTATAAATATTGGGGGGTTGTTGGTTGGGTTGACCAACCCACCATTTGGGTTGGTCAAGATTGGATTTGGTCCTAGACATTTGGTTGGCACTATTCCAACCAAATGGTCCTTGGTCCTAGGAACCAACCAATCACCAAGCACCACACTTTGTGGTTGCTTGCCTTCCAAGCAATCTCTTTCATTGGTCCACATTGTGGCCAATCAGAGAGCACCACACTTTGTGGTTGCTTGCCCTACAAGCAACCTCTCCCATTGGTCCACTCTATGGCCAATAGGAGAGCTTCTCTTCCAACTCTTCCTTGCTCCTTGTTTTATACAAAAGAGCCTCTTGGCTCCCTACTCAAAAAATCTTTTCTCTTCCAAGCTATTTCCTTCATGGTATTCAGAGCCACAATGGCTCACGCCACCTCTAGTCGATCCTAACTAGCACGGCCCTATGCCGTCCCTCCTCGCCATCGAAGCCTAGCCTTTCTTAGGCTATTTCGCGCGCCGTCCGTGCGCCCTCTCCCGACGCGATCTCCCATCGCGCACACTCTCTCTCCCGTCGCGCGCCTCCTATCGCGCCTGCTCTCCCTTCCGTTGCGCACCTCCCCTCGCGTCTTTCGACGCCCTTTTCCTCCTTGCGTCCTCCCGTCGTGCGCCCTCTGCCACCGCGCGCACCCGTTCGTCGCGCTCTCGCACCACCCGCCTGTTCGTCACGGCAGTCGCGTGCACCCGCCGACGAATCTGTTCATCACGAACGTGCTCGCCGCCGCAGCCGTCGCCGATTTCGTCGCCGTCGCGTGCGGCTGTCCGTCGTCGCTTCCGCCGACCGCGCGCGGGCCGTCCTTCGGCGACTTAAGAGCTGCGCTCCGCGCACCTATCCTTCTCCTCCCTCCCCCTTCTCCTCCTCCTTTCCTTTTCCTCCTCCTTTCCTTCTCCTCCTCCTTTCCTTTTTCCTCCTCCTTTCCTTCTCCTCCTCCCCCCACCCCCCCCCCCCCCCCCCCCCTTCCTTCCCCTCCTCCTCCTCAATGGCGTCCGATTCCTCGGTGGACCTTACCTCCGTCGACGCTCTTGAGCTGCTGCCCGACAACACCGCGGTCAATTGGCATTCCTATGCCCAAACCGTCACAGTGCTTCTCTCCTCGGTGACGGTCAACGGCTACAACCTGAAAGCCGTTGTCCATCTCGAGGAGCGCGGTCTTCAGCCTGCCCAGCCGACTGCTCCCGCGGGCCCTCCACCTCCTCCTCCTGGCGATGCTCCCGTCAGCCCTGGCGATCCTCCAACCTTCGCCCCTGACGTCAACAACTCTCAGAGCTCCGAGACCGCCATTCGCACCTACCGTGCCGGCCTCACCGACCACGTCCGCCAGCAGCTGCTCTTCGAGGCTTCCCGCGCCGAGCATGACGCCGCCACTACCGCCTACAACACGTATCAGGCGGAGCTCGCGGAGTACGTCAGGCGGGAGCGCGCATACATCACCGACCTCGCCGCCTGGCGTGTTGCTGACCGGCGCACGCTCACCGTCCTCCTCGCCACCATTCCTCCCACCCTCAAGCGCGAGCTTGCTCCCACTTCCTCCTCCCACCTCTGGCGCCTCCTCACCGATCTCTATGATCGGCAGGACGTTGCCACCCTCTACTCCCTCATCAAGGAGTTCCAGAGCCTCACCATGGACTCTACCACCGGCGCAGCTGCCTTCACGCGTCGCGTCCTCGACCTTGCTCGGCGTCTGGCGGCTCTTGGCGTGCCGTACCCGGACCCAGTGCTCTGCTGCCACCTCCTTGAAGGCTTGACTCTTGCCTTCGACACCCATAAGATCGCCTACATGCAGCTGATCGACAAGCGCATCACCCCAGCTGAAGTCGCCCAGTGGATTATCACCACCGAAGCCGACCTCTTGCGCCATTCCTCCTCAACTGCCGCTGTTGCTCAGCAGCGCAACACCAGGGGAGGGCGCGGGGGTGGGCGTGGCGCTGGTCGTGGTGGTGGTGCGGGTCGTGGTGGCAACGGCGCAGGACGTGGTGCAGCAGCCGCCTTTCCTCCTTGTCAGTATCTCCCTCGCTATGGCCCCACGCGGGGTCAGCGATGCGGCCAGACCACTCATGCCACTGACTCTTGCTTCAAAGCACTCAGTGATGAGTGGTTTGCCCGCGGCAACACCGGCATCCCCCCCCGCTGGTCCTCCCTCTCCCCTCGCCCCACTCCTCAAGAGGTTCGTACCTCCCCTCTTTTCCAGCCCGTCTCCTCCCCCTTGGCCCACCAGGCCGTCTCTCAGCAACAGCAGCAGCAGCAGACTCCGCAGCAGATCCTGCCGCAGCCGTTTCAGCAGCAGCAGCAGCAGTTCCAGCAGCAGCAGCAGCAGTTCCAGCAGCAGCAGCAGCAGGGGCAGCAGCACCTCTTCTCCCAGTTGCAGCAGCAGCTCCAGCAGCTCCAGCAGCAGCTTGACCTCCAGTCGCAGCTCCCCCTTGTACCTCCTCCTATGGCTCCCCCCCAGCAGCCCTACCCAGTTTGGACCGCCGGCACCGCCGCTTCCGCAGCTCACCTCTCGGGCGCGTCTCCCGCGCTCTCAGCCACAGGCAGTGTGACTCCTTTCCCCTCCTCTGGTTTTGTTGGCATGGTTAGTCAGGCTGGAACCCCCGCCCCTTCTATGTATTCGGCTGCTATTAATGAGAATGTGATTCAGTACTCCGTCCCACCTCCTCCCCCACATCCTCCCCCCTCCACCACGCTGGACTTTGTCCTTGACAGTGGAGCCACCGAGTCCGTCCTTCGTGATGCTGGTACCCTTCACCCCCTCCCAGCCCCCACCTCCCTCCTTGGTGCCGATTCC